AATTCAAATAATTTTAAATCAGAGGAATTAAAATTAAATAGTTAAATAATATGAAGTTGGTACATTTATAACATGGACCCTTTGACTTTAAAGGTCTCTTGGGATATGATATTTTTAACCACCTTCTCGTCCCTAGGTTTTCGAAATTACAATCGCTCAATGTCAAATTAGTTGACATATTCTATATAAAATATATAATTTTTGTTTGTAACCGAACTGCAACAGTACGTATCTTTTATGGTTTAATACAGAATTTAACCTAACTATGTTTTTGTATTTTACTACTTATATAGAAGGTACTCTCAACAACTTTTAAATTCTGTATGTCATTGCACACGTTTTCACATAGAAACAGTTGTCTGTTAATGTACAGAATAGATATGGAGCGTTATCGTATTTTTGCAGATCAGACGTTACTTTCGTATGATGATAAGATATAGAAATCGAAAACATTTAGGTCAAGGCATGAGAACATTTTGATGATTGTTACTCTACTATTGTTTGAAGGAAAATAAACGATACAACAATTCTTATTCAGAAAGCTACGTAGGTGCTTAGCGGTTATGACGAATAATATAATTAAAACAAGCTAATACTTATTTATTATGTTTGCTAGTTATTTGTTTATTTTTTATATCATACGATGACAAACGAGCAAGCGGCCACCTGAATCCGCCAAAATGGCGAAGCGACCGCTGCCCATAAACGTCCGCAACAGCGGATGCATTGCCCTTAATCCACGGAAGATGAGACGCACATAAAGAGGATGTTTCCCCTTTCTATGCGTCTCCTTCACCATCAAATCCACGTTCCCTTCCTATCCTATTTTTATAAGAAAAAGGGTGGAAAGGAAAAGGGTTTAAATTGGGCCTACGGCACCAAAAATGTTTGCCAACTACAAAACAAGAACATATCAAAACAGAATGTTACACGATAAATAAATGAATAATGGTAACTTTAATTTACTTACTTACTTAACTTTATAAAAAGGTTAATTAAAAAATAAAGAAGACGCAAAACTTCAACCTTCAACATCCATAATTTCCAATAAGTTCGCTGAGGTCTTGACTCATTTTTAGCGTTGCAAGTAAATACTTACACAGTGGTTTATTTTAAGTAAATACGAAGGAAATTTATTTAAGTGTTAATTTGCGGAAATATAACATTACGAGTACTCGAGGCGCCTCAGTGTTACATGACCAAGGATGAACCGATTTAGCTTTAATAAAGACGGGGCGTTGACTTAATGCGAACTACGTCAATGGATTTCAAGTTTTGCGAAATGACGACACGTCACTGTTCGATATAACTGTTTTAAAAGTCTTTGAACGTGTATAGCTTAGTTCAAAACAAATATGATGTACGCAGAATATGTAAGACATTCGTATTACTTAATCATAATTTTTAAGTTGGTTTTAAGTTACTTTTTCTTTGGAAAAAATCTTGTGTTAAATGGCCTGGTACATAGCCATAAAGTACATTCAAATAATGATAATCTAACTAACTTCTAACTAATATTATAAATTCGAAAGTTTAGATGGATGGATGAATGATTGTTAGAGTTTGTAGCCTAAACGGCTGAACGGATTTCAACGAAATTTAGCATAGACGTAGAGCATAGTCTGGAAGAACACATAGGCTACTCACATTTGTTTTTTTTTAATTCCACGCGGACGGAGTCGCGGGCGAAAGCTAGTAATGTTATATGTTAAAAAGCATACATTTTTTTCTTGATTAAATAGCTATAAATCGTTTCAGGTTTAGTTTTTCTCCAAAAAAACACCATGAGTTCAATAGTTTTACCAACACGTGCCGTATTCTAGCATCGGAAAATTTACATTGATAATATGAGCAAACATACACATTCCGAAGGCATCCTTACATTGGTGGGCAGTTAAACAGATGTCTAATGTAAAGTCGGCTCCGAAAGAAATTGTTTCTACCTGTTTGGGCGGTTCATGGACTATCAACGCACCTGTAGCTCCGAGCCGCCTGGTTAACACTTGCATCAGTGTGTACGTTAGTATCTACAAACATGATCAATACTCGGGCCGATTTTAAATTTCTCTTATTCCGTTTAGGACCACAGAGTAAAAGTTTTATTATAGAGAAAGTCACATTGTTAAAACTGCATAGAGTAACATTTGGCGAACGAGTCACATACTAGAATTGGTTTTAAAGAAACGTTTGAATATTTTTTTTATAGTTTAATTGAGACGTGATGATTGAATATTGTTTCAATAATTACAACACTCGAACTCGAAATGTAAAACTTGAAATAACAAGCGTGAATTCCATCGCAAAGCAAGATAATGTCATATTTATCATTTTCCTCAACCTCGAGAATTGTACGTTACGTATATTAAGAATGGAGTCAAGAAGCCCATAAACGTTTCACGTGTAAGTCGCTCGTGTGATGTAATGCAAGAGCAACGTTTCAGCAAGTGTTAGAACCGTGAAGCGAGTTATATGGGCGTGACAATTTGACGTACTGGCTAGTAAAAACATTACGTTTTGATAGCAACGCATTCACAATTTACGTCTAGGTCGCCGATGTAAATACTATTTATATTTCTTTTATTCAGCAAAGTTATAACCGTGTATCGTATACGTCACCTTTATATACAAACACTTTACATGTAACGCTCAATTTACGATGACAAAATCTTAATCATTTTATGTTCAAACTTTCCTCAAAGATTTATTTGAGTATAGTCGAAAACTATAAGTAGATTGCTTAAATGGTTGGATACATTTAGATTGTTAAAGAGTATTGTGTAGTCTTAATTTCATCTTCTTATGAAATTCCAATAAGTAAAACGGGAATTTTAATAGACACTAGTGTCAAAATCTAACCATAAGTTGTACAAAATCTTTTCTTTACCTCAGTTTTTTTCTAGGATAGTGGAAGGAATCTAGACAGGAAAACAATTAAAATTCTATACCCAAAGGCATAGTAAACACACAGACAAGAGAAACTAAAATGCCCAGTTCGCATCATCAATAAAAATATGAAAGCCCGCCTTGCACCTGTACTGTGTACGACCGGACTTGAACTTTGTACAATGTTAGCTGCCCGTTAGACATACCGCCGCACCGACAAGGACTTCTACTTGCTTCACACATACATCATTACACATGTACATAGTTTGTGCATCTTATTATGACTGCTAGAACATATTCTCGGAATCCTCAAGTTCATTATCGTGAGCCAACTGAAGGTCCTGGTCCTGACTTTTTAGGTGCTACACATATAATAGTAAGCATGCCTAATAGGAGGATAATCTTCTTGGAACATATGTTAGTTCTATTGTGTTATCATCAACCTACCTTTTTACCGATAGTTGGTCGGTACAGTATGTACGGTCTTCCATAGATTTCCATCTGCCTTTACATCTAAATTCACTCTCTTGCACTTATCCACGTTTACTCAATCCATCCATATCTTCCTCGCTATTTTACCTTTGTAACCATCTAGATTCATTCTTGTTTATGGAATTGTTTAACGAATTTCAGTCATTCCAATTGTTTTTTTAGTCAAAATCATATACAGGAATATAGTCAGATTTCTGTTTGACCGTAGCTTCTATGTGAAATATTTTATCCCTTGTTATATATACTAATATTATAAAGTGGAAAAATTTGTGTTTTTAGATTTTTGTATGTATTGAAATAGCTCAAAAACTACTGGGCCGATTTAAAAAAAATCTTGCACATTTAAAAAGCTACATAATCACTGAATAACATAGGCCTTATTCCAAAATTATTTCCACGCGGACGAAGTCACGAGTAACAGCTAGTGTATTACAAAAGCATAGTTAGTTGCGAATGCTCTCAGGCTGGCAGTGGCGGAGTTGTGCGATAATGCACGTATCGGCGCGTTCTATCGATACTCGTGACGTATCCACTTGTATCATAATACGTGTCACGCGTACAAATACAAAACTAGATGAACGAATTTTATACAAATTGTTTCCTTGTCGCTCACAATGACACAGTAATAGAAAATGTTAATAAACTATTTAATTAAAAAATTCTTACCCGTGTAATTACTCTCGGATATTTGTTTCTCTGTAGTGTTTGAATCCTTTGATCTACGTAAAAGCAAAATGTAGCATATACTGAGCCATTCCATCCCGTAGAGTAAGGATAATTCATTTATACTAGCCTCTAAAATTAACCTTGACCAATTGAATTGAAGATAATTTATTTAGGAAAAGCAGATACAGGATGAATACTCACTTGAATAATTAATGTACAGACGTTATTGAAATCTACTCCGTATCTAACTTAGGTATATTTATTTTGATGAAGAAATATTATTCTTTATTATTTTATAACCATATTAAATATGGTTTTGTAAATGGAAATCTATGGAAATATAGTGCGAGAGACTATAGTACTCCAACGTGCAAAATGAAAAGTTATCGATTTTACACGTGCGTTATAAGACGACATTTTAACGATGATTAATTCAAAAATTGTTACATTTTGTACATGACACATAGGATATTGACGTAAAAAAATTCAAAACACGCAAGACAATTGCATCAGTAAGCACTACATAGATAAATACCTTATTTACGTAATTGAAAACACAAAGAATTCGCGTCGCTCTATTCAGTGACGTTCACGAGTATTATCTTTTTTGAATGGTATAATTAATAATTTCACAGCTTCTATTTTTGTAATAATAATAATGGAGAAAATTGGAGGTATTACGATATAAGCAAAAGTAGATCTAAGTTGTAAATTAATGTGAGTAGTGAACATATAGTTTAAATTTCGTCCGGGTTATTGCGGGTAACCGGGCACATTTTTATTCACCCGCAAAGGGTAGTTCGCGCGCATTTTCGGAGCGGTCTACGGTCGAGAGACTCGTTTGCAAAGAGCCCAGTGAGTCAGTCTGTTTTAAAAGTGTCATTTTTGTTAGCGATTGGGGTCGCGTTGAATTTTGGTTTCACAGGTGGAACAATAATGGTGTTTGTATTTGCTGGCAGTTTCGCTGTCGTCTATAGAAGACTCGATTGACAACAACAGTAACCAGGCAACGCAGGCGTTGAACGGGACATCCAGTAGGTAAGTGCCATTTTATCCTTCTTCATCCCCTTATTTATGCCCCCGATTAATGCGTAAGCTAAGATTGTTTGGAACTTGTATGTTGTGAAACTACTTACTGTGCTGTTTGAACGGGGAAAAAAAACTTAATTATTTAGAAGGTTTTAGTTATTCTATCGATCGACTATAATACAATAAATATAAAAAAAACCACAAACGATTACGATTAACGATATCTGCTCATCCTACGATGTGACGAGTGAGGTGTTTTTGTCAGAATTATCAAGAATACTTATCTTGGTTTTCTATTTCAAAGATATATTTATGATCTTTTTAATACAATGTGGTACATTGTATAATATGACATGGTGTACACATTATTTCTTTACGAGGCGACTCCATTATCGCATAAAATCTTTACCATGATAAGGTTAATGGTATCGGTCACGTGATTATTTTATAAAAAAAAAATTATGTCACATAGAAGCTGTTGGTGTATTCGTTATAAATGTGTAAAGGATTAGAAAATCTCGATTTGAGGTTAATTTTAACGCAAGTTTTTTCTTGTAGTCATAAGTGGTCACGGTTAAAAAAATATTGAAGTATTATTCACAAATAGGAAATATCGTTATTTTAACATACTACTGCTAGGTACACGGTTTATCTTTTTAACAATTGAAATGAAATTTAATAAAGTAGGTAATGTCAATGTACAATTCTTTTGTTCGTGAACATTACTATCGAAGGTTGCGTCTTTCCTTATAATTAAATTGTTGTTCAACATTCAATGTAATCTTGTTAAATTTTTACTAATCCATCCCGCTTACTCTTCGGGTATAAACGGGCCAAGGTGTTAATCAGGTTGCGCACGCGCAGCATAGCGGCGTGGTGTCCAGTTAGCCCCACTTTACCCTGTTTGTTTTTGAACTTACATTAAACCCGCAAACGCTCCTTTTCCGGCCCGCTTAGTGGAACTATCACTTTTTTCAACCCACCCAGCTACTTATGGGGTTGCGTTACCAAGTTAACAAACAAATGTGGTAAAACGTTGTTAGCGTCTGTGAACGAATCACTAGCGCATGATAGTTTATGCGAAGTAACTTCTTAAGTAAATATGATAAATGTGTATATTAGAAACGGAAATGTTATTTACATTGTTGTGGCGGAAAAATTTGAAATTTAAGTATATTGACATTGATTTATTTACGATATAATTATTATCCAATGTTTTGTAGCCTTGCGGGTTCATTTTACCCTCACCTTGCGTATTCGTATGTGCGGAACGTCTAGGGGACCTTGCACACTACAATTTACAAAGTAAATAGGTACTAAGGACACGGTAAATCTTGAGATAGTTACTTTGTATAACGCTTATCTTTGATAGCCGAGTATTTTTAATGTGTTATGTCAAAAATACAAATTATCAAGTTTAAATTACATTAAATATGATTTCTCCATACACTGAATTAACTCTGGGTTCACATACACATTTATTTTTTTAACCTGACAGAGTTTTTTAATTAGCTGTTTTGGGATTTCTGATTTATAGGGCAATAAACATTAATAACACAGTTTTGCGAGTTAAATATGCTTTAATTTCGTAATTTGTCTTAGCAATTATACGATTTCGTTCTGAGCGTCTGAATAATTAAAAACATAGTTACTGAAGATACAATATACAAAGTCGTATAACATTTTTATGTGTATTTAAATGCATTTACTCGTAATTATACATTTATAGTTTTTGGAATGTATTTCATATTGTCAACAGTTGAATATTTTAATGGAATATGAACGGAATGTATATATTTAAAATGTACGTAGACAGTAGCAACAATTACATTGAATATTGGGTGTAAGGCATAGTTCACAACTGCCCCCATCCTGCGCGCAATATATTAAGCCATGTTCACACTGGGTTCAGAATACATTTTTGTTTTTTTGTCGTCTTACGTCAAACATTTTTTTTAATTTAATCATCGTTAACAGACATTAACTTAACACGCTAATTACACCGCGAACATAAAGTCGTACGCTGCCACCTCACTATGGCACAGATCTTATGATATAAAAGATTACAATGTCCACTAATAAATACGTTACAACAGTTATGGCTCAGTACTAATTAATATATAGGATTGTCACAAAACATATACATATAACATAATACGGTTTTACTTTATATACTGGCTGACTAACTTCCTTCACGTTTTATGAACTAGTTTTATATATTTCTGATGTCTTTATGTGATACATTTATTGTTTATGAAGATAAAAACTAATGCCCAAGTATCTCGATTTTATATTTGTAAGCAATAAAAGAATATCTGTATGTAATGTACATAAATAACGATAGAGCAAATAATATAAAAATCTAAATTCATAAGTTGGGATTTTATTTTAGAATTAAGAAATACATAGTATTTTAATGATCGTGGAATCGATTCCCTTTGTTCAATGTAAGCATCAGTTATTATCGCAACAGTGAAATAATAACGAATAGAGATTCAAGTACCTATCACTCTCAAACAAACACTTAAAATAATATTTACAAAAAGCTCAAATCATACATAAACTCGTAGCGACATTAATCGATATTGGAGAACGTTTGGTAGAAGTATATAGATGTGAAGTTACCGTTAATAGTTACATTATCTGTGGCTAATCACAAGAGAGCGCTCGGTCGGATAGATTAAATACCCATTAATTAAATACAAATCAATTTAATACAACTATACAAACTAACCTCTACGTTTACAAACTTCACATTAAATTTTTCCATCGATAAATAAGTAAACACAATTATGTACTTTTATTATATATTTACAAGCAGATAACGCGATCCGAACTTAATATTAAAGCATTTAAATAATAATACACTGAGAATTGACGTAAAGGCGCTTTTACTACAATAATGGCGAGCCAGCCGGAGCAGTCGAGGTTAGGAAAGTTATCAAACGTCTAGATGAACAACTTTACGGAGACGCGCCACCGCGTCCCGAAGCTGCCTCGTCGATCAAAATTCAGCGGTGGTCTCTCAGAAGACTCGTGACTAGCGACACTGTTTGCTCTTTCCTCAGAAAGCCTTTTTTTCCTTTTAGAGCACGAGTGTACGCGAGCGCGAGAGCAAACGAGCGCGATGTTACACGACCGTAAGGAATTTCACATCTCCAGCCGCCCCGGCCTTTTTCCTCGTTCTGTTTGCTCCCGCTCGCCGTAGCTACCATTCGGCGTTTCGAAGCGACCGCGGCCGGCTAGCCTAACGTCGTCCAGTCCTCGTACTGAAATAATACTGCGGTAGTTGACTAATACTCTGTCCACAGGCCCGTCGACAGCTGGCGACGAAACGCGCGAAGCGTTCAAGCTAAATGCTGCTAATAATGGAAAGGTTTACGTGCCCTCGCAGTTCCTCCGCCTCTGGTGCCTGCCGTGGTGATGGCGCACCCCGTGACAAGGCGGCTTGATGGAGTTCTGCGGCGGCGGGCGCAGTCTACGCTGCGGATGCCGGGGCCGGTCCGCGGCGACCATGGTGTTGTGCCTGCTTATGTCGAAGTCCTGGTTTTCCTTCATGAAGGCGAAGCAGTTGTGGGAGCGCTGTGAGAGGCGACTCTTCAGTCTTCGCAGCTGCAGCCCGCGCCGGTTGAACCCTATGTATCGGTCGTCGTTCTTTACCAGGTGGAATGTACTGTAGCCGTCCACAAACTCTTCTTTGAACAGGCAATTGGATTGTCGCTCCGCTTGAAATCGGGACTGTGGAAAGAATATTATATTTTAATCTTACCATTACAGTATATAAAATTGTCCTAAAGTGTGATACTTTCCGTCCCTAGGTATAAAGTACCCAGTTCGATCAGTCCGCGTTGATACTTAATTTTAGGGATACATGTACTCATTGTCGATATAATAATCACATTATGGTAAATGATAAAGCTGAGACTCACCAAACGTCTGCCTACCAGTTTGGAGCGGTTGAAGCAAAGGTACATGTCCTGCACGGGCGAGTGGATGAGCAGCTCCAGGTTGACGCCGCGGGTGCTGATGGTGAGATTCGCTGTAATAAAACATCACCAATATCAATATAAATGGTTACATCAATCACGTGGAGGTTTACATTTGTATAAATGTAAACACCATCTTGCCATTTTAAGAGTGTGTCAAATGATTTGTAGAATAAACAGAATTAGTTCTGATCCTATTCTAATGATTAATAAATATTAATGCCTATGTGAAAAATATTAATCACAACATAACATTAAGCCATTGAATTGACATGTAATTACACATTTCCACTTGAAATTTACAATCTTGTGTCGTGTATCGCCACAGGCGTGCGTTTATTTTGATAATCTCTTGCCCGCTTGTAATGTAATAAAAAACGTATCTAATAAGTCTACATAAGTCTAGGGAAGTTTGCTTAATTTATAGTTATTAGTTTTTTTTAATACTATTTGGTATGACGATAATTTTACTAGCGCTATAATACGAGTATAGTATGTTCCACTCTATGTGTGAAAATTCTTGTTACAGAAATAAAAGCTAAACTCAAAAGTTTCTGGGATACGTGATGTGTAAAGTGTGATATTTTTAATTTATTCCTACGCTAATATAATCAGTTAATAAGGACGAGATTTAAAAAAATGCTTCACAGTATGACGTAATTTTTTCGACTTTGCCCTCGCGTGCATAGAGTTATTATGTTTACGTAAATTTATTGACACATGCAACAAATTGAGTACATTTTAGAAAATCTAGACGTCCATTTAGAATACCAACAATCAGCCATAAATCTTTACTTTATTTACAATAATAAACACATGGCGAATACCGTTCTATTGTTAGGCAACATGTAAAACGCTATAACAAAGTTTAAAACTTAAGTCGGTTAACAATCTTTAAACGACCATGCAAAAATGTTACAACATTAGACAGCATTTTATAAAAATATACCATTAAATATCTCAATCAGATACTATAGAACAGTACAGTTGTAGAATGTGAACTTACTTAGTATTAAGAAGTAATAAATTTGAGTTTAACGCCATGTAAGCGTAGCCGTCTCATCGATTAGATAACATAAAATAGGAAAGCTCGTGTATAAAATTCGACGGGTCGACGCGATGGGATACAAATAAAAAGAATTAATAAAAATAAAAAGCAAAGAGTGGCCGCCTGTGACACCGGCCATGTCATTTCAATTAACATTAAAAGAAATAAAAATGCATCGGCCGCAGGCGTCGGGGACATAAATTCGTTATAATTTCAATACTCCCCTAGTATGTGAAAGTGATGCCGCTTACAGTTATACGGTTTCAGATTTCTTGACCTATTTATCCTTTTAATACATTCCGATGGATATCAAATCGAATATAAGCGATATTCCTGTTACTTATAAAACAATTCGAACAAATGCTACTAGATAACGGTTTCCCGAAAAGTGTACTATTAAATTGTTTTGGTTTCGAAGTAAACTTGTTTTCAAACAATCATCTGTATGTGTTACTTCTTACCTAAATCACATTTATCTGCATTTTAGAGCATATTTAATACCAGAGTTCGCATTAGATGAGTTCTACTTTCAGATAATAATATCATTAGTGACGTAAATTGATTACAGATGATAAATTTTAACATATGGAAAAAGACCTTCGCATATAAACGTAGCATACACGAGTCACAATGTCTGCAATTACGTGTGTGTCGAGTAAACAATTTTTTAAATTTATGTAAATAGAGTTCTTTGTTTCTCTTCACATTGTTGAATCCGTTGTCAGTTCATATCAGAACAAAAATGACAACGATAAGGTGACAATGTTTATTACTTAATCCTTGTTAAAGATGGAGAACCGACGTCTTGCGGTTTTTTAAATAACTCTGAAATTTTACCTTATTATAATCTAACATAGGTTTTATACAAGACCTTCAGTATTTTAGTAACTAAGCAACACTTCGAAGTAAATTTTATCTTCAAAAAGTAAAAGTCGTATAAGTAAATAAACGTAAAGGTCAACGATTCTCATGGGACATTTCTCTCGAAACTAGCAGACATACATTGCTCAACCCAACGTAATAGACTGAGGCTAATTTTTTAAATGAAGTAATCTCGTACTACAGAGGTAAACATTATGTCTTTGAGAATAGCCGATTGTTTAATTTTCTTTATTATTCTTTGTCGTATATGATCGTTTAGAATTTTTATAGCGTTTTTTTAATTAAACTAATCGATAGTTAATATTAATGAAATTTATCTAATTAGTTTATATATGAATCGTGGATATTATGTGTGTTAAATTTTGACTAGACTCGATATAGGTTAATGAAATTATGTAGGAATTACATTAAAGGTTCTCAACCCATATAAGGGCGTATGAATGTTTGAAATAAGTAAAGAAAACATCAATAGTTTACAAATCTTTGATATATTTTGTCATATACTCGTAGAGCAATACATTTTCTAACTGTAAAGTTGTTTGTTTGCTCCATGAATGACCACTTTTCATTGAAATTCCGTGCAAAATGGGAATGTTTAGCAATACTCATACTTACATTATTTCACCCTTTCAACAACTAGTTTGTTACGGTTTTCCTTGTATCCGGAAACTGTGCTCTGAATAACCGTTACTTTAACGTAGGTTTCCACTCCGAGATACTAGTGTCAAAGCATATTGTTATTCTTGTTTCCCTCAAAGGGAGTAAGTAGGACAACATGTGCAGAGATTTCGGCAGTTGAAACCCACTGTTATGTTAAAGAATTTAGTTTACTTATTGTACATTTTGGAATAGAAGTCTTAATGAGTAGGACCAAGGGACATAGCTTAGCTTAAGGTTTTTGTTTAATTGATAACTGATTTTTTTTAATTAATTTATGCAGTAATATCTTGTTCATTAAAAATATTGTTTCATGTACAATTAACAATTTTCAAATTTAAAGGTTACTAAACATTTAAGTTATTAAAGTTTGTCACAGTTTAGAGGACATGTTAATGGGTATTAATGTGGTAGTACGAGTATATGCGTTAGTATTACCAAATATATTATACGTTAGAGATGTCCAGTGGGCGTTCGTAGCAGTCAACGACCGGCTATCACTGATGATAATGGACTATCGATGTAATCTTGTATTTTACCTGCATTTTCATTTAAACCGCCGTGTCGCTTTGTAGGTCGAGTTGTCTATTGATTTGTGGTTCAAAAGTAAATATTTAATTTACGCATTTCCTTGTCTTAAGCATGTCAAATGAAACTGTTTAAGGATTAAAAACTAAAAAAAAGATAAGAAAAAGTGGACGCTGACGTAACTGTTTGCTGTTTACTTTAAATCAGTACAGATTTTTTTCCGTTTGATTTAAATGCTTATAAAATTAATTAAAGCAGTGTTTAAAATTGAATTAACACATCTTGATACTTTACATTTTTAAGAACTCGTTTATCGGAATCCAAGTAGAATTATAATACTGTTATCAGTCGCGTCCTTGTAAGTCGGTACAAAGACGCAAATATGTTAATCTCGGAACATTTTTTTACATAATTCGCGTCGTCTTCGTCGATAACTTATGCTATAGAATAATTAAAGTCTTTATGAATTCGCGCAAAACTACAATAGTTCTAAATAAGTAGGTACAAAATATAGCTTAACGAATATAAAAATCCTTTGCTAGTTCTAATGAGAGTAAAGAAGATTAGTTCCATATTAT